GGCCGAGGCAGGAAAGGAAGACAAAAACATCTTGATCCACTAAGTTGACGCGGTCAGAATTTATTTGTTTAACTTAAATACCCCTTAGAAGACTTTCCCAGTGTTTATTTGTCACACATAGAATAATCTGAGGCATTGGGAAAGCATTAGATTAATCAGTGTGTTTTAATATCCCTAAACCAATAAACCCTAAAGGATGCCCTTGAGAGACCTGCTCAGTACCTATCCCCAGCTCCCCAGCCCAGGCCTCTCCAGGCGTCCCCGTCCCCCCTGAGCAAAGCCTCGCTGGTGGAATATAGGATGGACAAGGACCTAGGAAGGTCTTATGTGAGAAGAAAAAGCAGAGTTTTTTTTTTCTTATTCTTAACACGAGCGATTTGTTTTAATCAAAGGATTTTTCTTTCTTATGGATAATTAGGCGTCCAAAGTACACCTGGGAGAGAGTTGTTTGCTGCACTAGGGAGACGCGTCTGCATAATTAACTAAGGGAAGCATCTGAAGAGAAATTTGAGCATTTAGATTACATTTAGATTAAAATGCATATGTTCCCGCCAGGTTAAAAATAAAATCCAACAGACAGCTCTACCAATAAATGCACTATATTAAACAAAGCATGGATATTTAAGATGTAGCTTTTAATAACGTTAACCAAATTCATGAGATTATGGCTTTAAAACCCATAAGCCATAAATTCCCTCTCCAAGCCTCCAAACTCTAAAATGCCAAATTATCCAATCCAATATCTACCCACCTGGTGCCGAGACATTAAATGACATTTTAGGATTACCTTTAAAATAATTACGTAGGCATTTTTACATCATTTTTAATTCCATCATTTATCTGAACCTGAAATATAGAAGAGACATTACCTTTCAGCAAGTTCCTCTTAGAATTTTGGAATTTATTGGGGAAACTTCAATGTCCTGCTGATTAAAACTCTGTAATGAAAAACATCTCTTCCCTTCTGCTTTCAGGCCGAATGCAAATCCAGGCTTGTCAATATCATCTCCCCAGCTTTGAGTAACGATGAGAATTATTGTATATCCGAGAAATGAATTCACATCTGAAATGTTCAATGGCTCTTAAATGCAAAGTTTTGTATTTAATCAGTAGATCCATATGCAGGTAATTCTCTTATTGATCCAAAAAGAAGAGACACTCAACAAATAGTCAATAAAGTCACTTAGGATAATGTGTTCCCCTGTGGGTTTTAAGAAATGCTAACTCTGCAACATGTTCACTGGTATTGTGCAAAATAAAAGTAAAATTGTTTTTGCTTTAAGGCATTAATATAAACATTTAAAAATATACAGAAAAGTGAAAGAGTAAAGAGCTTTAAGAAACATCATCCAGGTAAGCAAAGCAAAGCAGCTTCCTTCACTACAGGACTTCTTGGGGCCTTTACTGTCCCAACATGCACAGCGAGTTTCCAAGAGGAACAGAAAATGAATCACATTCCAATTTTACCTCCAGCCCCTGGCACATCTGGAGTCCCTCTAAAATACTTGAGATGTGTTGGCTTATGGCAAGTTTAGAGGTTCTATGGTTTCCATTGGAAAACTCTGCACCCCCAAAGGCAAACCTGGTGTCAAACAGGTTTCTAGAAAGATGCTTTGGAGAAACCGCAGTTTGAAAAAATTCATCAACATTTGAGAGGTTCCCAGTGCGAAGCTGACGAAAGAGTTTGGAAGCAGATTCTCTTGCAGTTGATTTAAATAAACTACTTGTTCTCCTCTGCGAAACTCCTTTCTCTAATGGACTCAGGTTGTTCCAAAACCCAGGCAAGGATTTGAAACTGGCAAGAAAATAACCCAAATGAATAAAGGTCTTGTTTCTTTTTTCAATCCTACCATTACCCTATAAAGTCCCTAAAAAACAGGGAAATGTGGCAATTCAGATTTTTTTTTTCAATTTAATGTGAACACTGAAGGTACGATTGTTGAGGGTAAGTCAGCTGGAGGCTTTCGCAAAAATTACTCTGAAATTCCCCTTTGATTCTCGCTCCACAGTATAGAATCCAATCAGTGCCAAATGTCAAGTCCTGGGCTGCACTTCCCTGCTTCCTTTTCATGTGAAGAATTGGATTTTGGAACTCATGGGTTTTCTCATGCTAATGCTGAAATCGAATTCATTTGTGAGCATGTTGTAAGACACAATGAGAAAACTATTACCTGAAGGCAGTTGTAAAAGTTAAAAAAAAAAAAAATTTTTAATCTTATGTTGTTTCACTTTTTGCTATAGGCCTAACAAGCACAAACTCTACCCCCTTAACCAGCCTTGAAAAGAAATCACTAATGTCTTACAAAAAACACACACACCAAATTTTATCTTTCACTCTACTTTCCATACCCAAGTAGTCCTTTTTTTCTTTTTTCTTTTTCTTTCGAGAGTCTTCTTTTACCACCTAGGGAACAAAATCCAACTATGGATTCAAAATGACAGATTCTGTGGGTCTTACTTCTCAGCGATGATGTCATTTGTGGGGAATTGTTGGGTAAACCATACACTCTTGCCAGAAACCTGCAATTACCTCTCTGAATAAAGAGATCAATGTCATGTTTCTAGAAATAATGGCTAATGATACGTCTCCCAAAAGGAAGTGGCGTTATTAATTACCTCACTGTAAGCACACAGTTTATAGACAGCTCCGAGGGCCGCTCGCCCAATTAAGTATAATGACTAAAGCTTCGGTTGGTCCATCTGCACGGCCTTCTAGGTTAACAAGCCCACAGCTTCCCCCGACGTGTAAGGCCCGTGTGCAGCGAGGAGAGCGAGGAGAGCGAGGAGCGCTCAGAGTCCCGGGGGATTGGGTGTCATTGGGCGCAGGACTGGGAAGCCCACGCCCTTGTGTTTTTCATCACTCAGCTTTGTATTGATACTGATCGCCCCTCCCCCCAATTTCCACGCGGAGGCGTACTCATTCATATTCCACATTAAGTATGTATTTAAATGCGTATAAATGTATTTAAATTTTTAATATTGCACTTAGGCACTTATATAGAGATTACGTAAGTGTAAATATATAAAATTTAAAATATTATATTTATATACTCATATGTAACTATTAAAGCACATATAATATATAGTAATTTATATATAATTATGTCATAAATTTATATATAAATTATAAAGGTAATTACATAACTACATATATATACATATCCTTATATAAAAATATGGCACATAAAAATATATTAACCCCCACTGCATATAAAGTGACAAGAACGGCACTGTGTAACCCAAAGCGGCCAAGGTTAGAAGCTGAAATTTACCTCACTCAGGAATAAAAACACCAAAAATGTTAAGTAACATACTACAAATGTATATGGACATATATATTCAGGGTGCCCCCCCAAATGTATACACGCTTGAACAGCTGATAGCTCAATTTGGAAAATGAAGTTATTTTAATAAACACTACCTTTATATTTATTCAAAGTGTATGTATACATTTTGGGGGGCACCCAATATATAGCAACACCCCATACACACACACACAGTTATTATTATTGAATGCTGTCATGCTGTCAAGTAGCAATGTAGGCCGGTTACCGAGCCCCTGCAGTAAATCAATGTTCCAAAGTGAGCTTGTCTTTTAGGGCTATGCTGTCTCCCTCCATGGCAGCATCAACATCATCGATCACAACAATCCCAGTTTGTTTTTCCTAATTGACTACAGGGGCTGCGGGCTGAGCTCTAAGCGAGGACATGCAACCCTTCGGATGGGTTTTCAAGGACCAAAGTGGGAGGACACCTGGCCCAGGGACTGGACCTCATTCCCGGCTTCCAATGGCCTCAGGCGAGTCCCAGCACCCTGTCCTGACCTGGGCCCCAGCTGGACCCGGCAGCATTTTTGCATTTTGGTTCTCAGCACTGAGGATTTCTCCGATGCCCCGGGCCACCCAGCCCCCTGATTTATGGTTTCCACAGTGAGTCAGCCCCTCCTCACTCCAACCTGGAGGTAATACCACCTCCTCCCTAGGGCTTGGGGGGATTAGGGGTCCCTCTGTACACGTCTCTGAAATCCTGCAGCGGAAAACAGGGGGCTGGCCTCAGGCCGGGGGCTTCCTGAGCACAGGACGGCCAGTGCCATGTCCTTACCTGCTGGCTGGTGCTTCACTTTAGGTCATTCCCAAGGTCAGAAACATGGCGGTTCACCCAGGACAGGAGGCCATGCAAAACCCCGGCCACCCCCTGCAGCGAAGACCCCTGGTGATGTCAGTCTATTCTTCAGCTCCGCTACAAGGATCAGGACCAGGGTGCAGTGGGGCAGGCAGAGCTAGCAGCTCATTAAGACTAAGCACGTGAACCTGCCAGAGTTTTGCTTTTGTTTTAAGCACAGTCACCCATTCCATGTCTTCCTTCCTCTCTCTCTCTACACACACACACACACACACACACACACACACAGATTTGCAGAGAACTAGCATGTGCCAACCTGTGAGAAGGAACAATGAGGCAAGACTGGAATCCCACCTTCACCAATCCCGGACAGTGACTTTGAACAAATTTCTCAACCTCCATGAGCCTCAGTTTGCCCGCTTGCAAAATGGGGACAACACTCTCCATGTCAAAGAGTAGCTGTAGAGATGAAATGAGATACCAAAATCCTACGTGTCAAATGCCTGACAATTTGCCTACCAGTTAGGTACTCAGTAAATGGGTGTTCCCTGAGTCCTGCTCCCAAAGGCTGCTCAAAACATTGAGCCTGTTTGCCACTAAGGAAGAAGGTGTCACACACCACAGCTCAGGAAATGCTAGGCCCTCCATGGCTCCTGACTGGGCCAATGATGACTCTTGCCTTATGGTGGGTAGGCAGCTGGTGTTGAAGAAGAGGAGTTAGTGATATTGTGTGTCTGTGTGTCAAATGACTGTTCACCCCAACTTAGATGTAAGGGGGCCCCTCCAAAGCTTTAATTAATTTACTCCCATGCTTTCATTTGAATATGGATCGCATGAACATGACCCAACTTTCTCTTCTAGGGAAGCACTGGCATGTGCACCCCAGTGTTGTTTGTGGAACAAAATTTAGAAATGCCTGAAACCCCAAGAACAATACAGTTCATAAATGGTAAGACAGTTCTTCAATGGAATACCATGCAGCAATAAAAAGTACTGCCGCGTCTCCAGCAATCCTGGAAACAATATTGCGTGAGTAAAGCAGGCCATGGGAGAATATGCAGGGTATGGCTCTGGTTTAGAGACGGCTGCAATGGCTCAGCTCCCACCCTCCCTCAGCAAATAGTTACTGAGCCCCTAGCCCTGCCAGATGCCAGGCACTGCCCTGGTTGCTGGTATCTGATGGTGAGCAAGATCCACACAGTCCTGAACCTTGGCTAGCTTACAATCCAGCAGGGAAGACCAAGAAGAAAACAGATAAGCAAGCAGTAGATAAGAAATGACACTTTCTATGGCCAACAACTTGGAAAGAAACATAAAAGACGTGAAGATAGAGAATAACCAAATAGGGGGGAAATACACTTTCAGTTGGGGGATGGAGAAAGCCCCTCTCGGGTGGCTCTTTGAGTTAAAAAGGATGAAAGGGGCCTGGAGAAGTGAACGGCGGGGAGGAAGGTTCTTCCGAGAATTAGAGAAGAAATGCCTCGAGATGGACATGTGGCTGGCACGTTGGGTAAACTGAGCAAAGCTCTGTGCGGTGGGAGGGAGGGAGGCAGGAAGGCCTGAGTGGGCAGGTGGACACGGTCCAGGTCTCACAGTCCCCCTTCCCTGTTGTGCAAGATCTCGCCCAGTGTGTGGGCCTGAAGACCAGGTCAGCCTCCTTCTGATGTGCTTGCCAAGTGACGTGGGCCAAACCAGAGGACCCGTCCTCCGCTCAGACTCCGAGGGGGCCCCGGCCAGTCCTTTCCAGGCTACACAAGGCTCATGCCGGGGACTCACTGACTTCCAATCTGATGGAGACACAGCCTCCTGTGGCCACTGTCAGCACTCTCTCTGGCCAAGGGCACCTAGATCTTTCCCAAATGTTATCTGGGGCGCTGATGTTCAGGGAAGGTGGGTAGACTGGCTAATCCCCATGGTCAGCAGTCTCCCAAGCTCCTAACTGCTCACCACAAATTCCCCGTATGGACACTGAGTCATCAGGAAGCAGTCAACAGTCTCAGGCCCCGTTCAAACAGCCCAGCTCTTCATGGAACCCGGGGGAGGCCCCGCGTCACGGCTGATCCATCTGGCCAGCTGAGGAGTAGATGATTTGGAGAACGCAGAGCTGTGAGCAGAAGGAAATGAAGGGGTCTGTCTGGCTCACAGGGCAGATGGAGAAAGCAATGCTTTTCCAATCATACCCAGACCCTCCTGCTCTCGGGGCTGGTGGCTGAAGTCCCATAGTCAGACGAAGAGCACCTAAAGTGAAAGATCTTGATGAGAAGCAAAGAAATGCTTAAGGGCAGCTCTGACTTTTCTATTATGTTTTTTTTTATTATAGACATTAAAAAAGTCATGCCATGGAATAAAGTGTAGGAAACGTTTTAAACTGTAATTTCACTATCCTACTAATATTGTCTTCTTTTTATAGTTACTTCTAGTCTTTTCTCTTAAACTTTTTTACATAGTTACAACCATATATGCACACACTTGTTTTTAAATTTTATATTATGTCATAAACACTTTTCCATATTCCGCCCAGCCTTTATAGGCAACAAAATAATAACTACATTATTATATGACCAAATAAATGTACGGTGACTCACCTAAACAATACCTTTCTTTTGGACCTTTGGATGACTGTAGTACTTTACCAGTGTGGAAAACCCTGCAATCGAGATTTTCATGCATATAACTTTTTTCTCTCAGATTTTGTTGGAAGTTTAATAGTGCTAAATTTTTTAATAGATTTGCTCATGCCTATGTGACTATCTCTCCTTTACAACCGTCTGCTTTTTTTTTTTTTTTTTTTTTTTTTTGTAAAGACACTTCTAAATGCAAGCAGTTGAGTGTGAAGTGCCTTTTGGTGCAACATCATCGCTCGTAATGACTTGTGATGCTCAAGGTACAGACGTGGTTTTGCACACTTCCGGTCCTGACTGATGTTGACAAGAATTTGGGGCAGAAGGTCTTTAGCCTCCTTTCCGGCATCAACGTCTCCTTCTTAAATGACACCGTCTCTCCTCATGCAACTTCACAGACTGAAGAAAGCAACCAACCTTCCCGTGGGAAGTGCGGGAGTGGAAAGGGCCTGTCCTTAGACAACAATGACCTGTCCCCTGGGAAGGAGCCAAGTCCGTCTGGCCAGCGTGGTGGCACCTGTGGGTCCTGCCCTCCCTGGAAACAGCCCACACGCACACGTTCTTAACCTGCTGGTGAGAGGCATCCGCCCCTCAGCGCGCGTCAGACGGGGATAAGCAACTTTCCTCCCTTCGAAATCTGTGTGGAACTAATCCTTAGCACTTGCAAACAAGGGCACACCCAAAACACACGTATTCTCTTACTGGGCTTGCTTAGAGAATGTCCCCGAAGATTTCTTTTTCCTTTTGAAGGAAAGTTTTTAAAAAAAAGGTAAGGAGGAGGTCAAGGGGCAGAAAGTTTCCCCTTGGACAATTCTGTTAAGATTACTTGTGCTGCTCGGTGGTTGAGCGTTGACCTATGAACCAGGAGGTCATGGTTTGATTCCTGGTTCAGGGCACATGCCAGGGTTGTGGGCTTGATCCCCAGTAGGGGGCATTCAGGAGGCAGCTAATCAAATGATTCTCTCTCATCATTGATGTTTCTATCTCTCTCTCCCTCTCCCTTCCGCTCTGCAATCAATAAAATATATTTAATAAGAAGAAGAAAGAAAGAAAGAAAGAAAGAAAGAAAGAAAGAAAGAAAGAAAGAAAGAAAGAAAGATCTGCACCTAGTTCTAGACTCTCCTGCACAGATGGAGCAAAAAGTGATAGCTGTAGCCACTTTGCTAAATCTAAAGTATCTCATTTCTGAGAGTGACTTGTATCGATCTATCCATAGCTATCAACGGAGAATTCGTGTTTTTATAAAACAAAAAGTGCCAAAGAATTTACTTCTTTACTGTCAAATTGAGAGTTGATGGAAGAAACAGCCAGGCAATTAATTATATTTAGGAACCATGCATCTTGGCTTTGAAGTTAAATGTATTTCCCTGTGGCTTTATATTGAGAACAGCTTTTATTAAATTCAATTACTTTTCCCTCTGGTCTGCTCCATAAAGGTGCGCTCCCAGAGAAGGGTGGCTCTTAACGGAATTATTTCCACTGGAAACGATGAGGACCGAGTAGGGTTGGTCACTAAAAGGGGGGAGTCCTTCATAAGCAGAATCACAGGGGATAGGGTGTGTTTACTTTCTCATCAGCTGGCAAAACAAATAAGAGAAAATGGAATGGTCTCCTTGCCTAGATCACCCCCGAACGCTTCATCCTGTCCCAGGAGGGGCCAACTCAATGCACCCACCAATCCTTGGGCCATAAGGCTCCTCTCAGGATGCTCCGAGAGTTATGGCTTGTTGGCATTGGAAAAAACGGAGACCAAATGGCTCGGAAAGGTCACTGGAGTGAAAGTCACCAATTCTAGACCCCTGCCTCTAGCCATCCAAGACCTGATCAGTTCTGTTCCCGGAACCTTATTCCTTCATCTGACCAGCAGGCACGATGACTTGTGCCCCCTCCATCCCATATGGCTGTTATGAGGATCAAACGAGATGATGAGATAATAAACAAGTGATCATTGCAAAGCATTGGCAGAACCGTTAATAATAATTTACACACCAGCAAATTTCTGTTCCAATGTCATTTAAAATAGGCTGTGGCTTTGCTGAAGAACTGTCTTGCCCAAGTGTGCTCATTTGTATGTTGCTCTTTCCCCGAGCCACACGAGAGAAGCTGTTTTTAAAAACCTAATATAATATTTGGTTAGAAAGTGATTGCGAAAGCTGACTGCATCATCGGCCAATCAGGTGGCAGCTCCCAAAGGGGCATTTTCTAACCAAAAGTATAATGTATTTCTGTAATAAAATGACCGATTTTACAAGTCCCAGGCATTGCTTTAAAAATGGTTGTATTAGGATCAAAAGCTTCAGTGCCACCTGGGACCAATAACGGGTCTGTTTCCTTCAGAAACGTCACCTACGTTAGCCCCAGTCCTACAGTTCTGGCTTAAGAAATTAAGCAGCATGAAAAGCGCAGGCAAGTCCACAGGGCCTGTAGAAGAATTATGTAGGTAAGATTCAATATTACGGGGAGGTAATTTCCCCCGCCCCACTTTGTTACAGAAAGAAGCCCAGGTTCCAGCAACAATCAGCTTCCCTTCCACCAGCAACACACTTTCAGATGCCCAGCAGCACAAGCTACAGGTGGCCTGGCTAAATGCCACTGGATTTGTTTGTTCCGAGCCATGCTGTCCTCCCTCCATGTTCATCGTTGATACTATTGGGGACACGAGCTCCAAGCAATGCTGGTGTCATCGGGCACATCACTACCACTGCTTAGGGAAAACCTCCTTAATGACAGATGGCCATTAAACTGCCACATCAGGACTTCCAGTGGATGGAACATATCTTCTGGAACTTTCTTTGGGTACATTGGACCTGGCTACTCAGTTGGCTTGAATGAAAAACTTAGACGCTCAGATGAGCTGACATCCCAACACAGCAATGAAGTCACTGAAAAATTGTGTGGGCCGTTCAGACAAAGGGATCAGGTGGGCACTGGAGACGGTTCTGAGCTTAATGAAACACAGTATGACCAACACAGAAGGAAAAGCAGCCACACAGATGGCATCTCATCATTATCAAACGATTTTGTTGATTGTCCACCAAGTGCAATGAGTTTATCTAAGAGGCTGGGGAAAGACATAAGAAATCTATGGGGGTGAGCTGCATTAGGCAAAGACCATATCTTTCCTGTTAACTTATGTCTCCATAGGGAAAAGCATAGGGCCCAATATATACTAAGTGTTCAATAAATGCTTTATAAATAAATAAATAAAAAGAATGAATTACTGATACTTAGGATATTAGGGGTAGGCCTCCTCCTCTGAAGGAAATGCGTACAGATATCTAACCTCTCCCTCCCAACTCCAATCACCCAAAAATACGAACAAAGGCAAACCTGCTTATGGAACGAAGGGTGCCAATCCCTTACCAAGCACCTCCAGGCGTCTTTCACATGGAGGCTGCTGAGACTGACTGAAGGAGAAAGACAAGCCTCACCTCTAACAGCACTTCTTGTGAGAGAGCAGCATGAGCAGAAAGGAACTGATGAGGCTGACCGTGTCTCCATTGATAGTCCCCAGTCTGAAGGTCAAGGGCTCCTATTGGGGTCAAAATCATGAGAGGCTGGCCCAGCAGGGTTCCTTCAAGGACAACAGCTCCAACAGTAAGGCTGAAAGCTGAGGTTACTCCCAAAGGCTGCTGGGTTGGAAGACATCAGTCCTCCCTCTAATCCAGATTTATGCAAGAAAACTTCAGAAGGGTTCATATTAGTCAAGAGTCAAGAGGACACAGAATCTGTAAAACGAAAACACCCGTCATTAGTAACAAGCCAAGATCCGGAAACAGTACAGGGACATTTAAAACATAAGGGCTCCATGAAAAACCTTTGATAGAATCGTTAGCAAGAAACTCCATAATTTAAGAATTCAAATTAGCAACTTAGAAGAAAAACTCAGTGACTGCTCAAGGCCACAGGGCTACTAAGCATCAGGGTCAGGATTCAAATTCAAGCCGTTGGCTCCTGAGTCTGTTTTTAACCACTACCTTGTCTTCCCCATCATTCAGAATTCTCATGCCTTATTGCTTTCACTCAAATTTGGGGCGGGGTGGGGGGGGTGGCTAACCAGTTCAATAACTTCCCTCGGTCATATGACTGATGATAAAAGACGATAACAAAGGCCAACAATCAGGGGACACTATGTGTTAGGCTCTATTCAAAACCATTAAATATAAAAATGCTCACGTCATACAGAAACACTGTGGGGGAAATGAGGCTTGGAGGATTTTAGTAATGA